ACTGTTACTTTCTGTAAGATGTTTAAGAAAATTTACCACAAAAATGATTAATACTCAAGAGATGGCTCCACAGCCCAGTGCTTAATTAATGTGCATTGAATGAAACAGCTCATTCGTTAACTCATTCATTCAGAACACTTATGGCTGCCTGATATATACCAAGTATTATGCTGGGGGCCTGAAGGACAGAGAGATCCTGGTCTGTAGGGCATCACGATCTAGTAGATAATTAAGACAAGAGACAGATGATAAATATTGTGTGATAGATGCTCCTTATAATCCCATGCCAGACAACACTAATCAGTCACAGCGTTATTTCCCACTGAGCTGGAAACAGCCTCTGAATCTTTCTTAACACAATGCCCTGGGTATCCATTCCCAGCAGAGTAGCGTAGGCACAGGAGAGCTGTATAGGATACAGGGCACTGAGTTATATATCACAAGCAAAGAATCAGGGGTAAGATGTAAGAACCATAACACACATACACACACACTTGTGCACACCAGTGGTGTGGCGTTGTGTAGCTAGATCCATTTCCTGTGGAACCAGAACTTTCATGGAGGAACAAGATTCACCTTGGGCCAGCATGAGGTTCCTTGGGCATGGTCACTAAGGAAAGCCAAACACATGGTGAGAAGGGGCCTGACCACATTCTCTGCTAACTGAGGAGAGGAAGCTGGCAAGGTGTTAACAGTATACATACGTCCTCACTCTTCTCATAATCATGGGCCTTCAGGTACGGGATGATGGCCACCCCACTCTCCATGACGGCTTTGTGGAATAAGCCTTCGGCCATGGGAGACAGTATCTGGAGAGAGAACACGGAAGACCCAGGAAAAGTTACTCCCCAGTGACACACATACCATTCACTCCTCTTCAAAGAAACCTTCCCAGGAAGCCTCCTTAAAAGCTCTAAGCTTAGAGGGGAAAAGCCCTGGTTTTGGGGTTAAAGGACTAGCTGTGAAGGCTTGGGCAACTTACTTAACCTCTCTGAACCCCTGGTTCTTCATGGACTTTGATGTCAAATATTCAGACATGTGATTTCTAGCTCCTTCACTTCCTAGCTAGGTAACCTCAGACAAGCTGCTTAATATTTCTTTTTTTTTTTTTTTTT